GAAAAAGAGTAATGGATCCCATGAAATATGAGTTAATATTTTTAAACGTGTGGTTAAAATTAAAATTTACTTCGAAATTCAAGTTACTAGGAGATTTGTTAGTGGTCCTGAAATTAATGAAACTTAAAAGTAAGAAAATTTTAATAATACAATAGAATTTCTCAAACTAAACAATACGTGAGGAGGTGTAATTGTAATTTGCTTTATATATTTAGAAGATCGTGTGAACCATCAACATTTATCCTTACACGTGCCAACCACAATTTAAGATTATATCTCCGGTCCAAATTTAACAAGATTCCAAAAATAAATGGACGCATTGGTTGGTCACTTTGTTAACATCGTTGTTTAAATTTTGGACTTACCAATTCCAATTTTATATATTAAGCCCTTGTTTGATAGGCATTACAATCTTGATAGATTTTAATAAAAGTTGATGAATTGTGTGGTTAAAAAGTTATGGATTCCATGAAATATGTGGTTGAAACTAATTTTGATTTTAATCCTACTAAACAGGGGCTAAATAATGTTTTTAAAGTCCATTTGGGATGGAATTAAATAGGATCAAACATAATTATAAGCTTGTATGGGATGGATTAAAATCAGATTAAAATTGAAAATATAGTCGTTATTGTTGACTTTTATTAGACGAGTGGGACCCAATAACGGCCATATTTTCAATTTTAATTTGATTAAAAGCTCTCTCAAACAAGGCCTATAAAGAATATGTATTTGACTTTACGTGATTACACGGTTGACTGTCGTACGAGAAAAGTAAGGGCGTATTCGGTAGAGATTAAAATCGGATTAAAATTGAAAAATTAGTCGTTATTGTTGACTTTTATTAAACGAGTGAAACCCAATAACGACTATATTTTCAATTTTAATTTGATTAAAAGCTCTCTCAAACAAGGCCTAAGTATGAGAAAGTTAAACAAATTGATTCCAATTTTACATATTATCTATCTTGTATATATACGAGTTTAAGTGTCCTCAAACTCTGAGTAATGGATATCCATTAGCAATGGTGTTCAAGAACATTCTAGATAGCAATTAACCCCATAATATCACAATTGGTGATCAGTATACTCTATTGTCATTTAGACAGGTGTTAAATACAATTACGAATAAATAACATTGTCACTTGTCCCATGTCCTATTACTTTTCTCATGTTGGTGATATGACTGCACCATTACTCGTATGAAAACTCCATAGCGCCAATTGATGTTTAAGGTCCCATCACCTGCATTATGATAGCAATTGTAAAGGTTACAATGTGTCTCATATCATATTAATTGTTCACGTATTTTAAAGTAGACGTTAGAGATTCTTTGAATAGTTGTGTTGCTCTTTAAGCGAATTCATCAAAGAGTACTCCATCACGAGCAGTTAAAGCACACTCAGTCGTTAATCTCTAGCCCAAAATTGACTAGTACAATCACGGGTCACCTTGCGGACTTCGTTGTTAAATTTCCTTCCTCTTTTGATATCTGTTTGGGGGACACATTTTTCTATTAAGAATCTTTTTTATTTTCCATTTCATGTTCATTTTTCACACACGATACCAATGGTTTAATCAAAAATTTTATTCTTTAGCAATTCATTTTCACGTAAGGACTGATTGGTGTACATAATTATGGTTCACACCCCATGTGAGGGTTATGGACACTCTTATATACAATAATTATGTGCACTTAGCATTTTTCTTCACGTAAAATCCAATAGCCGCATGTAGATATTGCATTACGGGAGCATAGGCTAATGCTAACATGTCTTGAATGGTATTATTCACATGACAGAAAGTGAAAGTTAAAAATTCTTGTGCATAGCTTCTATCGTTCTTTTAAGTTCCTAAATATTTGGCGGGTAATTATATTACCACCACAAAATGTTATATCCACACCACATTATATCCACGCCACAATTAAAACATAGTTTTAATAAATACACCACAATAAATTTACAATTATACACCTAACGTAATAAAAATAATAAAAAAGTAGAAAACATCCTTTTCATAAATACACCATAACTAAACTTCATATTTTTTCCTTCATTCGGATATCTATCTCTTCATTGGCGTCTCCTAGCATGAATTCCGAGTTATAATTAAAACCCTCGAAAAGTGGTTTTGCTGTTTGTATTCCAGATACTCCTAAAACAATCTCAATAGCAGCTTTGCCTTCTAGGATGTAGTAATTTTTAGAGTTTATGTATTTCACATTTCCCATTGTGGTCCATTGTCATATAGCGGATTCTACAAGACTTGGTTCCAAAATCAGTAAACTCCCTCCCCAGAAGAATCCTAGTCTGGATTCAAATCCACCATTAGGAAGTAGATTATCTGCTTTTTTCTTTCAAACAAGCAAGTTATGAGTTATTCTCCTTCCATTAATTTAAGCTAGAGATGATTAAAGTGAAAAATGTTACATGCAGAACAAAGATTAGTAGAAGTATATAAATATAAGATGAAGATCGAGTCACCACTATTCTGAGCATTAGATAAACTGGATTTCAAAGTAAAGAATGACCCTTTTCCAGTTTCCACAGATAAAATAAGTTTGAATGTCAATAGATAAACGATGCTTTACAAGAATCATGTTGTAGGTATATAAAAAGAATGATAACAGGAAAGAAGTTTCGTCATTGTTCTCACCATTTGCAATAAGTAAAGAAGATATTAAACACAGTAGGAAACTATGTTCTATATGCAAAAGAATGATTAAAAAAATAATAACATATACCAATGTAAAGAATGATTTGTTTAATGATGGATTGCATGAAGAATTATAAACGACTTCAATACTTCATGATTTGTCCGATGTGAAAGGAAAATTACTTTTCATGATGAATTCTTACTTGTGTTTGATGGCTACAGACTTGCAATTGTACAAAAGAAGAAGAAACTAGGTTCATTTTTTGTGGCGTGAATAATTAAGAATATATTAACCCTAATTATGTAATTTTATTTAAGGCTATTTAAGTAAATAAGAAAAAAATTAAAAATTGTGGTGTATTTCATAAATTTTGTGGTGATAATATAATTACCCATATTTGGCATCTGTTGGGGAAGTTTTTTTTCTACTAACTTTTCTTTTTAATTTGCATCTTGTAATTAATTTTCACATATCCTTGTTTGATCCCTATTTGTTTCAAATTATATTTTTTCTCTTTTTTGAACCATACATTTTTCAATAAAATAATATCACACACAACCCAAAAACATTTTTTATTTTATTTTTAACCACACATTCTCCATCAATCTATTATTTCAAAATTCATTCTACACAAAAAAGGGGGCTCAAACAGAATCATAAATTTTGATTCCTAAGAAATTAATTACATAAGATCAATTTAGGGCGTATTTGACTTGATTTTTGCTTTTGTTTTTGCTTTCTAACTTTTAGAGAAAGTTACCTTAATTTTTGTTTGAAAACTAATTTTTAAAAACATTTCTTATTAGAAAAAAATTAAAAATTGTGGTGTATTTCATAAATTTTGTGGTGATAATATAATTACCCATATTTGGCATCTGTTGGGGAATTTTTTTTCCTACTAACTTTTCTTTTTAATTTGCATCTCGTAATTAATTTTCACATATCCTTGTTTGATCCCTATTTGTTTCAAATTATATTTTTCTCTCTTTTTTGAACCACACATTTTTCAATAAAATAATATCACACACAATCCAAAAACATTTTTTTTTATTTTTAACCACACATTCTCCATCAATCTATTATTTCAAAATTCATTCTACACAAAAAAGGGGGCTCAAACAGAATCATAAATTTTGATTCCTAAGAAATTAATTAAATAAGATCAATTTAGGGCGTATTTGACTTTATTTTTGCTTTTGTTTTTGCTTTCTAACTTTTAGAGAAAGTTACCTTAATTTTTGTTTGAAAGCTAATTTTTAAAAACATTTCTTATTCCAATATACTTTTAGAGTAAAGTCATATTGCACCATCTTTCTTTAAAATCTCTTCTAACTATCAGAAGCACTTTCATAAAATTAATCAAACGGAACGAAAAACAGCTCTTTTCGATCTCAAAAACTCCTTTAGATTTTTTAAAAGTCATGCCAAATAAACCCTTAGTCCCATGTTGATGTTGCATTATGATAGCAATTGTATTGCTCGCAAGAACATGAACACTAGTAAGAGTGAAACTGAGGAATTCTTGTCAATAACTTTTGTCGCTCTTGTTGTTCACTTCCTTCCTCTTTTAGTACGTATCATGAGCACTTTTCTATAACTTTCGCTTCTTCTTTCGCATCTCTCTCTTTGTACAATTCATTCCATTCCTCTTTCGGTATCTATCGTTAGCACATTTTTCTAATTGGCAACTTTACTCGTACTTTACCATCTTATGTTATCTAACACGTCCAAGGCTGTAACAACTTTTATTCAAGAATGGTTGGTAAAGGTTTGTTTGGTAACACTAAAAATCCAATTAAAATTGAAAATATAATCGTTATTGGGTCTCACTCGTCTAATAAAAGTCAACAATAACGACTAATTTTTCAAATTTAATCCGATTTTAATCCCTACCAAACACGCTCTAAAAAATTGACATTCGTCCGACTCATTTCTAACTTTTACCGTAAAATCTTTGCATAAAAGAGCCCTTTTAGTTTTTCGTTTTCTGCATCGAAAAGGTAATTTTCTGTTTTATATTATTTTTTCAATTTTTGTTCTTGGGAAAGGCACTGATGAATGTTCTCGATATATCTTTATATTTTAATAATTTGTTTTGATGCAAGTTGAAGTTAGTTGCACCTGTTATGCAGTTGTTGCTCAAAATCAGCCATAAAAAAGGTCGGTATTCCAGAGGTACTCCAAACTCTCCAATTGGCTGAATTTCTTAATTAAATAATCATGAATTTGAAACCCAGAAGCTAAAACTTAGTTCCCATCTACAAATTTCACACCCTTTCTATTGTTCCTGTACATACAGTTACAGGATTGGATCCCTGAATAATTTCGATTCGATATAATTTATGACGCCGGAGAGGAATGGTGATATGCCGCGGCGACAGCTGCTGGTGGCTGAGTCGTCGCAACAGCCTACTCCGGCCGAGTTCAAGGGGACGCCGGGATCGATAATTCACACAATACTGGCACTTGTATTGTGGTTGGGGTCCGTTCACTTCAACATCATCGTTGTCTTGGCTTCCTTCATCTTCCTCTCTTTTACTAAGGCTCTCATGTTCGTCATCCATTTTTTTTCTGTTCATCTAGCGTGTGTTTGAATACTTTGATTTACTCAAGTTTGGATTTTGTGCTATTCATTTCAGGGTCATAGGATTGCTTGTGATATTAATGGTAGTTCCAATTGATGGTAGGAGCAAATGGGGACGAAAATTAGCGAGGTTAGCTTTCGATATTCTAGCATTCTTCGAATTTTTGTTTGCATTGATGTGGTTAAAATATTAGTAAGTGATTTTTCAGGTATATATGTAAGCATGCGGTTGGTTATTTTCCAGTGAATTTGTATGTAGAGGACATCAAAGCCTTCGATCCTAATGAGGCCTATGGTAAAACTACCATTCTAGTTATTTTGTTTGTTCAAATGTTTTTTTTTTTTATTCTCTCCGTACCTTCTCGCTCTATGGTCACGAGTTATCCACCTCAATCAAAGCGAAAGCTTGATATCTTGTTGGGATTTTGTCCCGGATTCTACAAGCCTAAGTTCTAATTTAATTTTTAAGGCCATATTATTAAATGCTACTTAATAGTGAATCAATTCTTATGGATATAATAAAGTTTTTGATTTGCAAGGCAACCGAGTTTGTTGATTTATTTGAGCTTAGATTGATCAAACTCTATTAATGAGGGCCCTAGCTCCCACTTGATTGAACTGATAAAATCTTTTGCTTGGTTAATATCTTGTTTTATTTGAATTTGCAGGAGAATCTACAAAAATGCTGTTATGCAGTTGCATAGAAATTTTTCTTTTTCTTTTTTAACTTTTCTATGTAGTTTCTCTTTTCAATCACGAGAAAGGAGTTCATTACTGATAGTTCCAGACTACTTTTGAGGACAGTTCAGTAGGGCCACTAAAGCCCTCAATTATTTCCCAATCAATCCCCAAAACAAAAGGTGATAGTCGAGAGAAAGTATAAGTTATATTTTATAATGCAAGTACATAGTAATTTATTATATCCAATTAAAGATTTAAAACAACGTTAAGAGGGCTTACTGCTTACCCTAGGAACAGTATGGTAGCAACACAGATTAAGAAAACATTATCTTGCAAGCCCCCCTGCAGAATGTCTTCTTGTGAAAACTTCAAAAGGTTGTGCAGTGAAATGTAATCCAAGAGAGCAATTAGATAATTCTGAAACTCCAAGGGTCTTTCGAGTTAAAATATTTATATCCCTTACCTGCAACATGAGGAAAAAAATGTCATTTTCACTTTGATAAGGGGAGGGGAAAGAAAAAGTGCTTTTTTGCCAAATTCTCACAATAAATGCACGAGTTAGTTACTTTTGCTGCATTCTGAGAAATATGCTTCCCATATATTCTTGAATGGAATACTGAGATGAGGTTTGTAACAAGCTAGGCTCTATTAGAATGGATTCTATCGATCAGTTCGGGATAAGGAGCATGCAGAATTGTCTTATAAATTATAATAATTTTGCCTGTTGCTAGATTCATTCTAATCTTAACATGAAATAAGAGTGAGTAATGCAGTAAAATAAAGTTTGTTTGTTTTGTATATCTAACTTCTCTTGGTACCTTTAACACGGTTGATTTTGTAAGTGCAGCAATCGACGGTAGATTCAATTATCGAACTTAGTTAGGGTCATGTTCCTCAGCTACATTGCTGTTACCATAATTATAATAGATAGTTGCAAAATGATAATATTTCAGATATAATAGTGCTCATGGCAGTATAAGCTTGATTTAGTGGTTCTGATGGTGGTATGAGTTCGAAAGAAGCAATCATAAATTTGTGTTGCTGGTGAATGGAACTCTTTTGCTAAATAAGTTACCTCTAGTCATTAAAATCCCCATTGTGTAAAGTTCCCTCTAGGGTGAGACGGGGCTGTATAATCGATGTGATGCACCACCATCGGTGCATCTCAAAGGAAGGTATGCTCAGATGATGACCGCAGAATGGTCCCGACTTGTACTGTTGTCAGAAAATCTCCCTTTTTCTAAGATTATATCAGGTCAAATTGATTCGTAAGTGTGGATATTAGCAAGAATATTCCAGGTTTCAAGTAGAAAAGATTTTCTTGAAAGGAAAGCATTGCAGCTGATTTCCAACTGCATAGTCTCTAGAAGTTCTTGGCTAGTCCCAGGCTTTCTATAAAAGCAGAATTAAGCGTGTATAAGATCTGAGCATGCCATGCTTGTAACAGTCAGTTTTTTTTTCATCATCCATTAGTTTTTTGCATTATCAGGCTATTATTTTCCACCTTTTTGTATTTTAGTCATCGAACGTGAATCTACTCGTGTTGCTTGTTTTAAGGTTTTCACTCCTTTATGTTTTATATGATCCTCTCCTTGAATTCCTTTTTCGTTTGCTTAGAGTACTTCGGATCTATGCACACTAGTTTAAGGTTATAGTATTAGATTTTTATTATGTTAATAAAAACTAGGAATCAGGAGAGTCAGGAGTGCTCTGTCCGTCTGTAGTTTCCCAGGCTTCTTTCTAATTTTGTTGGAGCAAAAAAGTTGAACAAATGAATCTCTTGCTTCAGTTAAGAACTTTGGACCTTACTACTTGCAGTTTTTGGCTATGAGCCACATTCAGTTTGGCCGATTGGAGTTGTTTCTCTGGCTGACCTAACAGGTTTCTTGCCTCTCCAAAAAATCAAGGTTCTCGCTAGTACTGCTGTAAGAATCGCTGGCTTATACATACAATACTATATAAAATCTTCAAATCCCCCATTTGCCATAATAATGAATTAACTGTGCTCAGGTGTTCTACACACCATTCCTGAGGCATATATGGTCGTGGTTGGGCTTGACACCAGCAACGAGGAAGAATTTTACTTCTCTTTTGGCATCAGGTTATAGCTGTATTATAGTGCCAGGGGGAGTTAAGGAGGCATTTTATATGGAGCATGGTTCTGAGGTTAATCTTTATAGCCCTGTCTTTCCTTCTCTGCATAGCATGTTTCTTCTGCTTGTACATCACTAAGATATAATGAACTCGTGCCGTATTTCACTAGCTTCTTTTTCAGCTTTTCTGTAACGTATGCCATGTACAGATATTGTCATCATCAATTTCCTTCGACCATTTTTCTGTGCATATCCAGTCTTTGAGCATCTATAGTTGGCTGCCTTAAACTTAATAACATCTGGAGCGAATATCACACCTTTCATGATTTTCTTATCACTTGAGATCAGACTTCTGGCAGTATCCTTAGTATGTTCCCAGGACTTCTTTGCATAAACACCTAGGAAAAGAAATTGCAGCAAAGATATTAAAGAAAAGAACCTGCAGGAAGTTTGAGTGAACCAGTAGTACTCTTGGTTCTTAAATTTGGGAATTGATAGTTTTACCTACTTTTTTCAGATGCACAGATTTGACCAGATCACACTAGCTGAAGAGTGGGGGAAAAACTAGTTATATATAATTATTAATTATTATTTACTCTTCTTTGGGGAGGGGCGGTGGGGGGCGATTATGCTTTTTGACGCACAGATCCAAGATTGTACAGATCATTTGTTTCATGTCATTCCTTTTATTCCTTTGGTTTACATACTCTCTGGTGGCGTGGCTAATTTTAATGTTGCTGCTACAGATTGCCTATCTTAAAACAAGAAGAGGGTTTGTGCGAATTGCTATGGAGATGGGCAAACCTCTGGTTCCAGTTTTCTGCTTTGGCCAGGTATAGAATTTTTTATTCTCTTTCTACATGTTCTGGTAATTGAATATTTGGATATCGGAAGGACTAGTCTATGACCAGTTACCCGCCTCTTCATATAAACTAGCCTGGATTATATTTATATGTTTTCATAATGTATCAAGCAATTGAAAAGTGAAGAAGGGTTTACTTGACTTGACACACATTTACTCCAAATTGTAACTCATGAATTTCTTGATGAACTTCAAGGAAATGAGTTGAGAGGTAGAGCCACAGGGGAAAGACAAACATAAAATATGTGGAATTTTAGGTGGCATCATAGACTCTTAGTGTTGGGTACATTTGTAACTCATCAATTACATGGTTGAATGTTGTGCCAAAGAGATCCTTGGAATGTGAATCACTATATCTCCCATTCTCCATTTTTTTAAATGGAATATAAGATGATGATTTGTTTATAATTTCTTACTTACCAAAACAGAATAGAATATCTAGCACAACATTTTGTTGCTGCAATCTGGAAGATGAAGACAATATATAGATATTATTGTAGTTTAAAATAAGATCAAGAAGTTCGCATGAATGAATCCTTATAGAAGGTGAAGTACAATTTTTGTTGGACAAATAGCTGTCTTAGTCTCCCCAGAATGTACTATTTTCAATCTGAGAAGCATCAGTGCATCATTGTGGCTTTCAATTAAATAACAAAACAAGAAGCAAGGCCTTTACTCTCAACAGAAGTAGGATCAACTCCCATGAATTTATTTTCACAAATTATGTTAATTCTAGTACCCATCTTATGAAGGTCCTGAATCAATATATTTTTTACTACCACACAAGGCCATGTTAATTTTGTTCTACTGTCTTCTTTTCCAATTGATTTTGTTGGGATTTCATCTCTCTTGTGAATGAGAGATTCTTGAGGTTTGTGTAAGGTGTGTAGGGACCTTAAGTTTTTCTTTATCTATCCTAAGTTAGCCACATCTACTTGTTGGCATAAATCTTTCTTTTCTTATTTTATCAGTTTAGCATGGTAGCTCCATCTGAAAAAAAACTCTTTTTTGCCACGTTTATCTAATCAAGTGTTTATTCTTTACCAATAACTGAGCTCCGTAACGGCATAAATCATAAATGATCTAAAATCGTTCTCTAGATGGCGTAGAATCATATGCCATTCTCGGTTTTGTCAGTGCTATTGTCATCTATACGTAGTATTGAAGAATACTGAGTTTCGTAAAGCATAAATGATCTAACATCATTCTCTATATGGCATAGAATCATATGTCATTCTCGGTTTTGTCAGTACTATTGTCATCTATACGTATTAATCTCTTCAAGTTGGCATTGCTTATTAATAACTGAATCTAAAAACAATCACTCTTTTGGATCGATCTTCCATTGTGGTCCATTATCATCCTTGGTTCTATTATGCCTGAAAGGATATCTATGTATTCTATCTTAGTTGCTTTAACTTAAAAACTTGGCATTTCGGAATGCTTTTCCAAAGTCAACATAAGATTTACTTCCCTCCTACTCTCATCAATTAAAAATTGTGTTATCTATTAATAATATGCACAAATGAACTTATCAGGTTTGCCTTGTAAGCTCATCCTCGATATAAAATGTAACTTAGGATAGAATTTCAATGCAAGGCTATATAAAATATATTTCTGTACTATTACCGCTAGTACACCTTACATTCATCACCGCTTCATTATATATAATTGGTTTTCTCTGGCAACCGCCATAGTTGGTCCCAAGCTTGAACGAAGGAGGAGAGTTGCGGTAGGTTTAGTGCCAGCTTATAACTTTGTAATATCCATGACATGAATCTTTCATCTCTTAGTTTTCAATCAATAGAATGAAAATTAATCTCTGATATGATCACTCCATTTCATCATTTCTTTCCAAGAAATTCAGTGGTTCTGTAAGAGCAGACTAAATCACCAGACTGTCCTATCCTGGTATACTGTCTTGCATTTCTACTCTTCATGATACTTGCCCTAATCTTTTAGCTTGTACACTAATTGATTCTTGTGAAATTTGGTGCAACATGTGCATAAGATCAAAGCTTATGTTATTTCTCTAAAAGTGAACTTGTACGTTTATGTTATAATTACATTTGGTTTATTAGCAAGGTTTTATTTGTTAATAATTTTGCAGACTGATGTCTACAAGTGGTGGAAGCCTAGTGGGAAGCTGTACTTGGAATTCTCTAGAGCATTAAAGTTCACACCAATTTTTTTCTGGGGTGTACTAGGGTATGTTCAGCTCCAAAAAAATTTCCTACTGGCTTTTATGTTTTGCTGCAGTACTTTCTTCCTTTATGATTGCGTCAAACACATTGAGAAATAACATGCTTGATCTCACGATACTATTCTCTATCTGATAAAATGATGTAGAATATGCTGTAGTGTTGATCTGTTACTCTTCTTTCTAACAAGTATAAGGGAAGGGCAGTAGGAGAGGAATGGTAGAATCTGTTACACATGTGATTGGATATGTCTAAAGAAAAGAAAGGAAAAGGAGGCAGAAGGATTTGGGAATACTGAGAATTTAATTTTGTTTCCTCTCCTCTTTTTCTTACAATACAGATCTATTCTTTTTTTATTTTTCTTCTTTTGATAATTTATCCAAAAAATACGGGGATAGTCATTAGACTTGATTTCCCTTTAATTGAGGATTTTTGCTAATTTCTCTTCGTGGTTAGTTTTGAAGTGCTGTACAACTTTGCATTCTCCTTGTTTTTCATATGTTGACAGCTTGTTGTTTGTAGTCTCCAGTGACAATTTGTCATTTGGCTCATTTGGGAAATTACTATGATACCTCATAACTAGGGGTGTCCAAAAGTCCCGAACCGAACCGGACCGAACCGAACCCGAACCGAACTGAGCGGTTCTTCAAAAATTAAATACAGGAACCGAACCCGAACGGTTCCATAATTATATTTGGACCCGACGGGTCCATTTATTAAATACCCGAAAGTTTTGGGTCGGTTCGGGTATCTTCAGAACCGAACCGAACCGACCCACGGACAGCCCTACTCATAACTACTCTGTGGACTTTGATTGAATATTCTTTGCAGTTCCAACTGTTTTTAAAGCAATGTGCACCATCTAAATTAAATTTCGGACAAGAAACCATGAATCATCTAAAAATTCATAATAAAACATTCAACAGATTGAAAGTCTTATTTTCTAATGAAAACTTAAAAAGGATCAACTAAGTAGCAAGTTCTAAAATCACATGACAAGTCCATTAATTCATAACTCAGACTGAAGTCTAAAACAAATGAAACAACTGACTAGTTATTTTAAAAAGTGTTTGCTTTGACTTAAAAAGAAAAATAAAGAAAAGTGCAAACTCAATGACAAGAAAAATATAAAAGAAAAAGAATGAAATCATAAATCATTTATACGTGATTGTTTGCCATTAAGGAGTTGCAACCTCATTTAGGCACTTTAGTTGTAGGTGCTGCCACAAGCCTATATCACCTTGTTGTCTTCTCCATTCTCAAGTTCTTTTTCCTTGGCCTATCCCTCGATATTAGGTTAATGTGCAAATCTATATGCTTAAGATAGCCCAAGAAACCCTTAAAACGTTTTAGGCTATAGAATGCTGCTCAAAATGCTGATGCCGGTAATGAGCAGTCTACAACACACAACAGCTGCAGGCTGATGCCCCTTGGCATGCTCCTCATAAAGACACTCAAAGCATAAGCTTCAAGATTCTTTACAAAGGCCTCATGCTTTTGAGCCTAGCATGATGGCAATTACTTGGTTTATCTAGATAGAAAGGAATGTGGGAATATTTCAGGATCATACACCGATTGTTTCTTTACTGCCTGGGGGAAAGGGTGTGTTATGTGTTAGTTTTCAAGGTTTGGTTGATGTGATGCATTGACAAGGCCTTTTTTTTTGTAGTCTTGTTTTATTTCTTCTTTAACTACTGCAATTTATGATATGATATCTTCCCTCAATAATTTTGCCACTTTGCCATCTAGTAATAGAATTTCTATATTCACATAAAAGCAGAAATGAATGTAGTCATAGGAGATGAACTCATCTATTGTGAACTTCTTTTCAATGTTTTTTTGTTGCAGTTCTCCTCTACCGCTTAGGCATCCGATGCACGTGGTGGTTGGTCGTCCCATTGTGCCAAAGAGAAACCCACAACCTACTGTTGAAGAGGTAATCCTTGGCAAGAACTTTGTCTGCAAACTTTATCTGGATGAATGCAGTATAGGCAGAATTTTAAAAAGAGGAACCTCACAATTCAATATGCAAATTACCTTTTCTCACAGAGATTTCTGTTTAAAGAATATGAAGATATATTGTCCTCTTTTTTAGTAGTTAAAGTTGATTGTTTCTGTAATTCTATGAAAGATCCTTGGTATTAAAGTTGGTTGTAGTTTTCGGTTATTCTTCTCTTTATGGAATTAGAAATCTGTGTGGTGTAATACTACAGATATATTCTTCTCTCTCAAGTACACTGAAATGGATGTTATTTATGGTTAGCATTTTTTCTTCTGATGGATATGTGTTTTACTTACAACTGCTCAAGTGACAGTTGATTGTAATCGACAAGTTTTAATTCTATTTCTGGTTTTCATTTTAGGTTGCTGAAGTTCATGGGCAGTTTGTCGAAGCACTTCAAGATCTTTTTGATAGGCACAAGGCAAGGGTTGGTTACGCTGATATGCAGCTGAAAGTTCTATAATAAAATCAGTCTGGACTTGTAAAATTATCCCTGTTCCTTGTTTGGCTTCTTTTTATACTTTCTCGTACTGCTAAAATAAATTCCCAGTGAAGGAGGGAAAAAAAAAAGCTAAGCATAGCTGCAGATAACCAACGCATAGGTGTACATGATGTGCTAAACATTTCACATTTGTACATGTGCATGCACATATTTATGATTTTTTTTTTCTTCCAAGCAATTTCATACACATTTTGCTCACATTAAGAGCTTAATGTGGTGTTGGTGATATTCGCATATTAGTGTGTCGTCTGTCCATACACTTATCTTAATCTCCATTAGGTATATTAGTGGCAAAAACTAATCCTGTATAACTGTCAATATTTAGTTAGCTTTTTGCAGTCCAATCTAGCAGCTCAGAACAGCTTGGTAGGTATGCCTCAGCTGCACCACCTCACAATTCTTTGTAATAATGCACTTCAACATTCTCAATGTGGTCTTCCAAGATCATCAACGATTCAACACCAGTGCAATACGACGAGGTCTAATGTCTGGATGGTTGACTCGAGCTCTAGTTCATTAAGAGACTTAATGTGCTATGATACAAGAGAAACAATGATGGAAGACCTATCGGTTAAAATATAGGTGTATCCTATCCTAGATGTCCTCCTTGAAGTAAGTTCGTCAGAGATTCTTGAATAGGGTAATTTTTTGAACTGTTGCTGAATTCATAAGTAGCAAGAGGCAATTTGACGAACTGAAAAATTTTAAAAGTCAGAGAAAAAGAAAGCAAAAGTGATTCCCATAGTAATGAAGAGCGAAAGGGAGTGGCCTAAATCGCGATTGGCATAAGTGGATGTGCGAGAGGGATGCAAATGACCAACCATGGGACAAATGTAGATTTCTATCCCAATTCATTCATTTCCTCATCCACTCTCAACCTATGAAAACACCCCAAATAATTTCACTTCAAAAGTTCCAAGGTACACAAATTAGAATTTGTGGTAAAATCATCACACGTAACACCAAAAACAACTTGGTACATACTTTCTCGTAGCAAGCTCTTGAATTTTGTCTTAACCATCAAAGTGAAATCGACCACCCTCTCTGGAATGTGACACAGAATCGTATTTTGCTTTGCTGTAATCTTCTGAAACAAGTTCATAGAGATAACATGATCCATGGCAATATTTTAGACTTCTTTCTTTCCAAAAATAAATACAATTTTAGTTGTCTTAAATGTGTACAAATTTGATATTAGAAATGCATTGAAATGACAGTATACAGCATTATAATTACTATGGAACAGAAACTACACTGCTTTTCATTAGAATTTTCATTAAAAATAGCAGTTCCGTGACCTGTTAAATTCATTTCAAGTCAGCATTCAGCATTACGTCCTGGATGTTTATCTTTCTTGCCAGGGGCATAAATTTGAAACTTTTTTGCAAACTTTACCACAAAAATTGAAACAGTTGAAGGCTATTAGGATGTGGTGCTGCAATAGGTTGTTTATTTTGGTAATTGTTGAGCAGGGAGCGAAGTTTTCAGAGGGAGAAAGAGGTAGTACTAGGCCAACAGGTTCGAAATTCCTACGCTAATCAAGATCGAGAAAAGCAAATTTTCTAACGACTGCCCCAAACCCACTATCGAATCTTACTCAGCAGAAGATGGAGGTAAATGTGGTCTGAACAGGTATAACTTGGTACATTTAAACACATGATACATAACTTTTCATCAATCTGGCCACCGCGGCCATCACGACCAGCACGTCCTCTTCAACGAACCATGCTCTGATACCAACTGATGTGTTCGAAACTACAAACCAAACAATAATAAGGAGAAAACAGATTGCTCTCTAAGAAATTCATACAAACGTTTGGAGAGCTTTAAATATGAAAAAAAAAAGAGTTAACCTACTAGGTNCACGGCATAGCTGGGAGGTCAATCCGTATCGTCGCTAGCTTTCCGAAATGGGGTTATGGGCCCACAACGGACTCCGTATGCAATAGTAATGCCACTTTCTTTGAACGCCGACAATCCAAGCGCTCCAAATATGCAATCACCTGTTCCTCCACATTAGCCTCATCACTTTTCATTAAACCAGCAAGAACATTTCAAGAATATTAGTGCTCCCTCTTATAGTCCTTAAACTTCAAAGCAAGGAAATCGAATTCGTTAAGAACAGCAAATGTATTCTCATATATTGAACAAATAAAAATGGCCAACCTTTAAAAAGAACATACCTATAAGTTTCACTGTTCAGATTTGTGTAAAAAGTGTAACGAAATTTTGCTATTGTGGAGAACAGCAAAGTCCTCAAAGCATGTCAGCTTCTTCCTACATGGCTGCACGTCAACCTTGAAATAATAGTAAAATAAGCAATCATGTAACTGAAGACTCTGCTTTTGTATATTATCAGAAGGTAAAAGCACGAGACAACAGAGTATGCCAAGCCGCATCGCAAAATCAGTTTTGCTACATTGTCAGAGAATTTTGACACATTTTTTGACGTTATGCTACATGGCATTGTTAATCGCCTGTTCGAAAAACACAACAGCTTTTGCAACAATGAAAACCCATCAAAACTGCTTCTGTCAAGGGGGTGGGCACCAAATTCTGGCGAAATAACTTAATTCTTGCAAGATCAGTTTTGCTACATTGTCAGCCAGTTTTGACACATTCTTTAACGGAATACCACATGGCATTCTGTCATTCGCCTATTTGAAAAACACAACAGTTTGTGCACCTATGAAAACATACCAACGCTGCTTCTATCAAGGGAGTGGGCACCAAATTCTACTACTGGCCAAACCACAACCATTCCTCCTCTTCCACCACCACCAGCACCAGCAGTGCTAATAACTACCATTTTCAATTGCAAAACCACCACCACCAACAAAAACGACCCGACACACACAGCACACCACCATTGCACCATCGTCACTGCCTACTTTGCACACTGACAACTGCTAGCAACGCCCCTCGCTGCCACCATCCATCGTCGTTACGCAAACCATCCAAACCTCAGCAAAAAGCATTAAAAACCATTGGTCACCACAACAATAACCACAACTCCATAGTAAAACCCCAAAACCACTACCAAAGCCAAATTTTCCCCAGATTGCGCAACGTCATTTGCTGTTGTTGCAACGGTTGCATCATCATCGTTGTACGCAGTGCGCATTGTGTGAACGTTGCTACTACAACGACGCTAAATTCACCACTACGCAGTGACGTTCATTTGATTGCCGCATCATCATTGTAGCAGCTCTCAAAGTGCCACCATGGTGGGTTGTAACATTTTCGATAAAGAGAACGAAAATGGGATGCAGGAGAGAGAGAGTAGTGGTAGTGATTGTTGGTGGGAGTATTAGTAATTATAACTTGAATTTTCAAACATGAAACTTAAAATGTGATTTATGAAATACAAACTTTAAAAACAGCCTTAGGTGTAATTTTCACATTAGTTTGTTTGAATCTCATTTTTGTCAAAAAAAATTAATACATTATTAAATAGTGTATTGATTGAAAATGTGTGGTTAAAAATAAGAAAAAAGTTTTGAATTTAAATGTAATATTATTTTATGGAAAAATGTTTAGTTGAAATGGGGTCAAAATGCATTTTTTTTTCCAAAATATGGGGCTCAAACAAGGGCCGAAAATTACTTCTATTTAGTCCATGTTTGATCTCTCTTTAAAAAAAAAAAAAAATTTCAAAATTCATTTACAGCCACACATTCACCTAATAAAATACATAAATTCAAAACTTATCTATACTTTTTAACCACACATTATCAAAAAAATCCCTTTTACAAAATTTGTTCTTCCAGCTCAAACTAGCATGAAAGAATAGCATGCGCCAATACCATGAGAATACATGTAACAATAATTATTTCACCTTGGAGCTTTAGAACCAAAAATACTTTCACACAAAAAATTCCCTTAAAACATATATTATGCAACAATCGACGAGACCAATATAAACCACGGAATACACCTAAAAAAACCTTCCACAACGCAATGAAAACAAATAACTTCAAGCAGTTTTGCGTAATCAATATCTTGCAATAAGATGTACAATTAATTAAAGAAACATGACAACTGCCATGCACAGAACATCCCATATGAAAATCTACAAATGGAAACGGCAGTGGATATAAGAAGCCCTTGGCGTTATTTTTTAGAATAACACACACGATAAAATTATAATGGAAACAGATACAAGACTTCAGTTTAAATAGCGTAAAATGCCTGCTTCAAACGGCATTGCAACTTCCATCATGAATCTGGCACCATCAACACCAAGTCCAATTCTTCATCGGAATCAATCACATCTTCAAAATCATAATAAGGATTTGCCTGCCACAAATGTTAAACATCATCGTTTTATTCAGACACAATTGTTTCCATTGATCTAGAAAGATAAATTTAACTTGAACAGGTAACTCTTATTGCTTTCAGAACTACAATACACGAATTCAGTAACCTGTAAATCTTCTACCAGAAAGATGAGGGAATGACACTGATATCAAATATGTTTGCTCTCTCCAAAGAAAGCCAAAAAGCCTCCAACTATTTATATTTCCACATGATGTGTAATTTAATACATAAGATTTCAATTTTCTGTTTCACATATTGTTTGGTCAAATAAGATCACCTTTGGTCTTGGAGTAACAGCCTCAAAGCTATGGAAAATTGGGGAGTCAAAATCTGGGGGTTCCAAGACAATATATGCTCCTTTGTTTCTGTACCTCTCTTCTGTTGCCTGCAACGTGCACAATGTCCAATAATTATCAATTTTTTGTTATATCTCTGGGAAATAGCACTTAAAACAGCACATTTTTGCAAAGAGGTATAATTTTAATACTATGCATATGGCAGAGAAGTGCAAAGACATTGTAAATTATTAAGTTAGGACAACTCCATAGTTTCTTGTATTATGCAGACCAAGCCTTGCATTTTCCAGGGTCCTGACTTATGATGAATTCTGATCTAAGAGTTAGTCTGTGGCAGTAACCCAGTTAAATATTATCTGTTACCTAAAAATATGGGTTCCAAGCTACATTAAGAAAGCTATTATTCCTCCAAAATAAATTTATAGCCTGTTTGACATAGATTTTTTGAGAAAAGATTTTCGAAAATTGATTTTTTTTGGAGAATTTGCAGTTAAAAGATACTAAAAGTTACGAGTCCACATGCAAAATTATTTTATTAGAAGAATGTGTGGTTAAAACTGAGTTTGAGGAAAAACGATTTTTAAAGAATCTCTACCAAACATTGGCTTATTTTCATTTGGAAGGCAGAAACGAAAAGAAAACAAGTAAACAGAGGCCACAACAACACCGTCACTGGACATTGTTTAATACTCCACTCCGTTCAAATTACAATGTCAACTTTGTTTCAACTACATGTCAATTTAAAAATATAGACAAGAAAATCCATGGTGTGTTGCTTCCACTTTTTAGATTTTCGAATAGCAACGCAGAGACGCATGTGCCATTACAGAAGTCCAAAATAAAATTAGACAACAGTAGAACTACTTATGGAGATTGGTGACAGAAGGAATTTAATGCACAGAGTTTGAAGCTACCTGGAACTGTGGATAATCTGGGGCACTAAATAGTGTGATGAGTTTCCCAGACTCTACAATATGATCTATAGTATATCCTACATCCATTCCTCCAAGATCAGGCCGCTTATCCCTTGCATCAGGACCTTCATGTGACCTAATGATCAACTGAGGTAACCAGAAATAAAAGTTTATCAAATCAATTCCAGCACTTGTGTGCCAAACAGATTAAATTTAATGAATTTCATATAACAGCCGATGGGAAAAAATTACTGTTTCTACCAAAGGCAGTAGTTAAGATTTATTATGCCCTTAGCTAGGCTGTCAAGATTTATTACAACCTTAGCTAGGCCTTTTATTACTTAAAATTACAATTCAAGCTCTAACAGTATCCATGGACGAGCTAAACTAATGAGCTGGATGTCATTTTCATCCCTTGAGGGGAAAAAAATTGTAAGGACATATTTAGTCAAGTTTCGACATGCTCATTAAAATAATTGAGGTGGAAGGGGGAAAAGGCATTCCAAAGGCACCCTACATATCTCTCTCCTTGCTTTTCTCTTCTATCCCACCACCAATTACCACAGAGAGGAAGGATAAGAATTAGGAAAAGAAGGGAGGATAAGGATTTTTACAAGAGTTGTTTGCAAGGAAACAATTTGAAGGGCCCGTTTGACATGACTTTTGCTTTTACTTTTGCTGCCCGTAGAAGAGATTTTAGAGGAAGTTACCTTACTTTTTATTTGGAAACTAATTTTTAAAAAACTTCCTGTTCCAGTAGTAGTTTTAGAGGAAATCACATTGCACTAGCTTCCTCTAAAAGCTCTTTTAACTATCAAAAGCGCTTTCATAAAATTAGTCAAACGAGTCCAAAAGCAACTTTTAGGTGGGTCACAAAAGCACCTTTTGACTTTTCAAAAGTCATACCAAATGGGATACAAGAATACTAAAAGCTCATTTTGACTTTTCAAATGTCTCACATAAGCTAGATGAACCATGAAAGAGGATACACGAATATTGAAAAATGGAAACTGAAACTTCAAGTCTTCACTTTCTATATCATCCTAGATGATGATGTGAACAGCAGCAGAAAGAAAGAAACCATCAGTGTAATCTAACAGTTGTGCGCATCAATATACTGCAATAACATAAGTAGATATCGAGTTGCATTTTTCTCCCAACTTAAGCTAGTTCATATCACACTTTCTCAAATAAGTTCAAAGAGAAAAGGAGAAAAGAAAGGCAGAAATGCCTGTCATAAGCAAATATGATATGGAACAGGAAATGAGAAAAATGTTTCTAGGATAGAATGCCGTCACCTTTAAATTGAACTTCTTCAAAAATTCTTCAGTACAATCTGGACCCCACAAGAGACCAATGCCTCTCTCTTTATTTGGGGAAAGACCAGGGATCATTGATGGATCTGACCAAAGAACATCACCAGGAATCAAATTTGAACCTTCCCAAGGAGGATCAAGGACAGATCTCCTAGCCTTGGCCAACTCTTCCAAGGAACCAAGAGTTAAAGCATTGCCTTCAGGATTATGAACTACTTTACGATTCTTCTTTTTAGCCCTTTTTGATGGGGTGACAACTGTACCGCGAAAAAGCCCTCCATGTGCTGTATAAACACGCCCAGCTATAATGGAAGCAAGAGGAAGTCCTTCAAAACAGCCTAAACACTTCCTGTAGACATGTTTTCCGCTATCTCCGTACTTGATCAAGACTTCTTTCTCAAATCCATAAACAGATGTACAATATTTTGACTCATGATTTCCCCGAAGCAAATATACCCTGTGAGGCATAAGAACCTACAGAATATGAAGTCCATTACAATTTCGAAGTACAGTTACATTCCGAACATGTATTTCTGAATATGTAGTTAAATTGTATAAATAAAGTTCATTATCTAAGAATATGGAAACAATCTCGTGATAAGAGCGGAGGAACATAAATCTTAATGGATTCTACTAAATATAAAGATTATATTGAAAATGTGCTAGAGATCTCTTGCTACATAATTTTCTTTTATGGGTTTTTGAGTTATTTTGTATGCGGTCCATTGAAGCTTATGTTGGAAGGGTGGATTGTGGCCTACACGTGTTGTTATTTTTGGGTTGCTCATTGGAGTTTGGCCTTTTAGTTCTTTTGTACATCAGTTTCTTGTCAACAAATTGATACTTCTTGATCATCTAGCATCAATTTGAGGGAGTGTCAATGAGATCGATAGAGATCATAGAGATTGACGAAAATCACAAATATTGGCGAAGATTATGACTTAACATAATTATGTATATAATTGTATTTACCATATTAGGTTGATTACATCTACCATATTTCGATTGATACCATAGTTTTATAAGGTAATACTCTTCCTATATAATGCAAGAAATCCCTCAAGTGAAGATCATTAAGTCAAAAAATCGTCAAAATATACATATATAGATAGAATCCACATAAAAATTACTTGTAAAATATCCCAAAAGTTTCTTTATACTAGATTAAAACTGAGGGACCAAATTGATAACTTTCCATAGTTGAAGGACCCAATGTGCACTTTTTGAATTTTAAATTTTGGTAAAGAAATTATCATGGAATTGTCATGTTTAGTCAAGGAAAAGATTATGGGGTTGCCGTATTGAGATTATGGAAAGTAACTTGATTTCTACTTTGATTAAATGTGATTGCATGATTTGATATAAATATTGCATGCAAATTAACCTACTTCATTTGTTAATTATTATAATTAGAGAAACTTTGCAATTATATATTTATTAATATATTTAATTGGATAATTAGTTGAGTGATTGATTAAATTTTATATGGAAAAATGTGTGGCATTAATAAAAAAATGAACGTTAGTACCAAAAATAGGTAAAGGGGTTAAACCTTAGAAATCCTTATTTATACCCCCTCACATCACTTGCACTCACACACAACTTATGTTGTACTTTATATCTCTCTTCATCTCAACTCATCTTCCGCACACATTTTCACATTACAAAATTTAGCGCACACGGTGTCTAAGGAATTTTGGAGTGAAAATCTCACAAAGCAATTTCTTCGATTTACGTTTATCTTCTTTCATACAACTGTAAGTGTAGTAATACAAATTGTTTTTTCAATATTTGAATTACAAAAATTTATGTTCATGATACGAAAATCTAAGTTATGATTACGATAAGGGTCCTATATTTGCAAGTTCAAAGGACCAGAGTTTAGTAGCGCTACGCACGGGAATTATAGCCATGAAGTTTAGACTTTAATTCCCGTGTCTCCATATGTAATAATTTTCCGTATTTAAATATGAGATGTACTCATTTAGCCCATGTTTAGCCCCCATTAAATTACATTACATTAAATTTTTATCTCTTCATTTCAACCACACATNATTAAATTTTTTTTCTCTCTTCATTTCAACCACACATTCATCAAATAAAATAATATTACACACAAATCAAAAAAATTTCAACCACACATTCTCCCATCAATCACTATTCTAAAAATTTTCAACCCCCAAAAATGCAAAATAATGGGGGCCAAACAGGGGCTTACTAACATTTACGTCTATGTATGTTAAAACCTTTTATAGGTTACTAAAAGGCGGGTTCGAGGTGGTCCGAGGTGGATTGTTCTTGCATTGGTGAAAAGGAAGAATAAATTTGTAGTTTAATGATTTTTAGTGATGTTCATCGTATTTCTCTCTAAACTAAATTTAAGAAAATATATATCTCTTTTGTTTATGAAAGTATTCTATATGGTACATGTATAATGATTCCAAACGTAAAAATTTGGATCGTTACTACATGATATCAGAGCAAGTTCATATTTCTGTAGACTAAATTTTTTTCAAAAAAAAGTTTTTTTAGAAAACACTGTTCACTGTTTGTGAACAATGAAAAGTCACTGTTCACAGAAACAGATTTTTATAAAAAAGAAATGTTTTTTTACAATAGAAACTATGTAGTTACTATTCACGCAATGAACAGTTAAAAAATTGTTCACTTCTGTGAAAAGTAGCAAAAAAATCAGATTTAAAGTTTATTACATCACCACCACGCGATGCCAATTTTCAAACTCCAACGCTCTCGAATCAGGTAGAAAGACATGTAATTACATTATTGCCCTGTTTGATTGCACTTCAATTCCATGGAAGATGGAAATTAAATTCCTTTTTCCACCTTTTTACATGTTTGATTGCCCAAATTTTCCATGGAATTAGTTTTCCATCTTTCACCTACATGCTCACATTTTCTTAATTTTTAAGGAAAAGATTTTCCCAAAACTTTTGGTGGGAAAATCTTTTCTAGGCAACTTTTTTTTTTTTTGCAATGGAAACAAATTCTATCCCCAATTGTAACAAATTATATCCCTTTAATGGACAATTTTCATGAAAAACAAAGTCAAACGAACACCAAAAGATCTAAAATTTCAATATTTTTCAGGTGACATTATACTAATCAATCACAATTAATTGACAATTTCCAGTAAAACAAGTTCTAGGCAATATAATTCCCTGAAATTCATTTTCTTTCCAGCCAAATTTCATCATTGCAATCAAACGGACCCTTAATGTTATTATTATATAATGACGATTATATTTAACCATGTTCACTATATTTACCCATGTTTAGAACGTGCTAGTTTATAAAAATTTAACCATGTTTGTGCACGATTATGTGAATAAATGTTCAAATTTTGTTTACTTATGAAAATGTGCTTATTTACATACAAGTTTCTCTTTATATGTGCCTAATTATGGAAACTTCCTAATTTTTGAAAGTGTAGATTTACGAAAGTTTAAACTTCAAAAAAAATCTAGTTTGAAAATGATAATTCTACGATATTATGTAACTTTAGATTATTGAATATGTTAGGAAAGATATCAACATATGAGAATAGTCGACCTTAGAAAATTTCTCGATCAAATAATAGCCTTAAAAAAATTATACCTCTAAGTACTTCCTTTCCTTATTGTTCGAGTTTTCTTGGCTTTTCTGTTCGTACTTATTTCAGATCCTTATTGGAACCGGTTGAGAGTTCATTCCATTGGCAAAGGGTTTGACAAAGTAAATTACCTCCAAGGGTGGCTTTCTTACTGTGGACGGTTGTGAGGGGACAGGTGTTAACGGCGGATAATCTTCGAAGAAATGGCTATTGTATAACGGAGTGGTGCTATTTGTGTAAGAGGGATGGAGAAACGATCGATCATTTGTTCATTCATTGTGATGGTGTTCGTTGGATGTGGAATGATATTCTAGCTTCGCAACACATGAGTTAGGTGTTCCCAAGGCGTATCAAGGAAGTGTGGGCATGGAAGAGAAAGTTTCGAGATAAGAATAGCAAGCTTGTTTGGGATCTCATTCCAGGATGCATCGTTTGGTGTGTGTGGAGAGAAAGAAATGGCAGATGCTTTGAAGACCAAATACGGATAACAGAGCAATTTAGAAAAATGTTTTACTTGACTTTATATAGTTGGTTTAAGGCTGCAACCGTTAGTCCGATAGAAGGGTTGCCGAATTTTTTATCGTTTCTATCTTGTTTAACATGATAATGCACTCCTTGTGCATTATCTTTTATTTTTTATTTATAAAATTTACGTGATTACTTATCAAAAAAATAAAAACAAAAGGGCTTTGTCTAAAAGACATAAACTATCTAAGGAAAGTTTAGAATTTAAGTAGTTCACTTTTGAACCCCCCCCCCCCCCCCGGGTGCCACTCAATCAAGCGTTATTCATGTCAATAAAACGAAAGTAATATTACAAACTCACTCCAAATTTAATAAGATTTCCAAACTTCATTTTTAGAAACTTTTAAGAATATTCGACTTTAGAAACTTTATTTTAAAAATCCCTATCTTAGGAGCTTCTATCTCTATTTTAAGAAAAATCTATTTCAATTCCTATTTCACAAAATTTTTACTTAAAAAAATAGATACCTTTTCGGATATTTTCCATTTTCAGAAACTCTCATTTCGTGAAAATTTCAATTGTAGGAAACTTTTAAATTGAGAGGCTTCCATCCTTCTGAAATCCTAACTATGAATAGTGATACTGATTAAGCTTTTTATAACTTTCGTACTTAATGGACACGAGTTTAACAGGGATAAGTCATTTTCCCCCTCCTCGAAAACCTTACCGAATATTAGAGAAACTTCGTTGAACTGGATTTAATGTATGACCAGCAGATATCTGCCGAACACCTTATTTGCTGCCTTAGAGAGAGGTGGAGGATCAATGCAAAGACTATAGAGTAATTGAAAGGCTCAAGGGGTACGAACCAAACCACTACCCTTTAGAGGACCTAGAATTGAAACAGGACAAGAGCACTGGGAGAAACTACTAGATTATAGTTTTATGTTTCGATTCTTGTTTACTATATGATTTCCTATGTTTGCTTGGACGCTTGTTATACCTTGCAATCCTTTTATCTAGTAGATTTCCCTTTTTTTGCTTGGATGGAGGGAATGCCCTACGCACCTTTATGAAATCATTAAGATTCTACGAATAAAATATGAAAATGTTTCCTCATTTAATCTTTACTTATTGTAATATTGTTTATTAAGGCTATAGCACCCCGAGGAACAAGAGCAAACAACAATGGTGAACAGTCCCAACAATCCCAACCTAGTAGCATTGGCCCACCGTTTGCTCGTTAATTTCTAGTTATGATGAGCACGTTCGTCCAAGCAACGATGCCGTAGCAAACACCACCACAACAACTGACACCGCTACCATAATCACTGCCACCTCAGTCGCATGCACCAGCGGCGAGAGAGGACAACAACAATACTGATGCTATTATCGTGAAACTTTTCAAGAAACAGAACCCCCCAACCTTAGAGGGTGGCATCAACCCATTGGAAGCCAAGGATAGGTTGGTCGGAAAAGAAAGGATTTTTGGTTTGCATTGACTGTCCAGATAGTAGGAAGGTTACCTGCGCAACATTTATGCTTAAGAAAGGTGTTACGTGCTGGTGGGACTCAACCTCAAGATTGAGGGCTCACAAACAAATCTGACATGGAACGAATTTGAGGAGCATTCCCTGAGGAAGTACTTCCCCATGGGAGTCCGCAATCAGAAGGAAAGAGTTCCTCAATTTAGTTTAGGGCTCGATGTCCTTAACTGAGTATGAGAGGAAATTTGAGGAATTATCACATTATGTCCCTAAACTTGTGGACACGGAAGAGAAAAAGGCGATACGTTTTGAAGAGGGGCTGAGAGATAACCTAAGGCAAGCTTTGGTAATACTTCAACTGGGACCCTACCATGAAGTGTTAGCAAAGGTGCAGTTGGCAGATTTCAAGCATCAAACAAGTGGGGAGAACCAATAGCATGTACAGCTAGAAAAGCGCATAGTGGGAGGATTACTAAGGAAAAGGGAAGCAGAACTTCGTAAAGAAGTATAAAGGAGACCCAAGTGTGAATAATTATCAATAGTATCCAACTTGCGGCAAGTGCCAATAGCGTCATGCTAGAGCATGCCTCATGGGACTGGTATATGCTTCAATTATGATTAAACTGGCCATATGGCAAAGACATGCCCTAAGGGACAGAAGCCGCAGCAGCAACAGAAGCCTGGGAATCCCCCTAGAGGCCAAATTAAGGTGTATACACTCACAGAGCAAGAAGAGGACCAGGATCGCAACGTCGTAGTGGGTAACATGATTATATCTCGCACTTCTGTTTATGCTTTAATTGATTCTAGTGCAAAAAATATGTAAAGAGGTCAAACCTTATAAACCCCTATTTATACCCCCTCACATCACTTAAACTTATACACAACTTATGTTGTACTTTATATCTCTCTTCTTCTCAACTCATCTTCCACGTACACATCTTCACATAACAAAGTTTAGCATGCACGGTGTCCAAGAAATTTTGGAATGAAAGTCTAATAAGGCAATTTCTTCGATTTACCCTTATCTTCTTCGATACAATTGTACATGTAGTAATACGAATTGTTTTTTCAATATTTGAATTACGAAAATTTATGTTATGAATATGATGATACGGAAATTCAAGATATGATTATGATAAAGGTTATATATGTGTAAGTTCAAAGGATCGGAGTTTAATAACACTACGGAAGGGAATTATAGCCACGAAATTCGAATTTTAATTCCCGTATCTCCATATGTATGTTATGATTTTCCGTATTTAAATACGAAATGCAATTCGTTATTATTCATTTACTGAAATTTATGTCTCACATGTATATGTTAAATTCTTTTATAGGTAACTAAAAAAGGCGGGTTCGAGGTGGTCGGAAGTGGATAGTGCTTGCATTGGTGAAAAGGAAGAATAAATTATGTCGTTTTAGGATTTTTAGTAATCTTAATCGTATTTCTCTTTAAACTAATTTTAAATCTTTACATTTTAAGAAAATATTATGTTTTTCTTTTGTTTATGAAAGTATTATTTACGGTACATCTATAATAATTTCAAAGGTAAAAATTTGGATCGTTACAACTTGTGGTCCCAGAAATAGCAGTTCAAATTCTGGGATTCGAAAGTAGCAAACTTATGGTTAATTCACTGGGCAGTACTGTAAATAAGCTTTATGACTTTGAGGTTTGAAATTAGTGAAAGACAAAAGAAGAAGAAACATCATCAGAAATTTTCGTGAGAAGCTCAAAGCTTTGTATCTACTCCATATTCAGACATGTATTAACTAAAGAAGATTATGATCATATTCATAGTCTCCAAAAGATCTTTTTATCCAATTAGGACACGGGACCTTTTCCCGGCTACCAGTAACTAGATCGAATATAACATAATTTTATACTATCAGGAAAAATCGAAAATGCAGGTAGAACTGAACTCAGAATAATTCTGGAAGACTGCGCAGATTGCAGAGTTTCAAAAAATGGAAATTAAAGAGATACCCCTAACTCATAACGAATGGAAATATAAAAATCAGGGACATCTAAAACGCTAAAGAATGACAAGAAGAAGGAATGAAATGCATTGGCAATGGGACCATTTCACTTTCCATTTAGTCCTACTATATCTGTACATCTTTAAACATTACAAGCTCTCCTTCACAAATGCTATGTTATCTTGGCATAACATTCTAGAAGAACAAGACGTATACTAGAATTAACATGCCCTGAAATGAATGCAAAAGATTGAAGTAGTTGTAGATGGAACCAAATGTCAATAAAGGATTCATAGAGCCAACCCCAAGTTCATTAGAGCAAGGCTTAGCTTGTTGTTCTCTTTGTTGTTGTTTGTTATGTTTTCCAACTGGGGTCAAACACAACCACAGCTCCAACCAGGGTCAGGCTCAGGCATAGCAATAAGTGCCCAAAAAAACTAAAAGTAGAAGTTGGCATTTGCAGCAAATTTGCTTCCCAGAACAGTGCAGAAGTAGCATGGTTTCCTCAACAGGGAGAAGAGATGGATGTTGATTAATCTTCTTGATTTTCATTTTACCATATAACACAAACCCAAGTCTTTGAGGTAATGCAAACCTTAAGTATTTGGTGTAATGCACATAGTTGATACAGCCAGGGGCGGACCTACATGAGGCCCAGTGGGGGCCGCACGCCCCCACTCAATTTTCAGATTTTCCGATTTTTCTTCAGATTTTTTTAGTTTTTTTGTCCATATTTTTTTAGGTTTTCAGATTTTTTTCAAAGTTTTTTGGTTTCGCCCCCAATGAACTTTCTTCCCGAGTCCGCCCCTGGATACAGCTATTACATTTCTAAATGTATTTAATGGAAGAAAGGGGAACATAATCCAAATCAGCTAGAAAATTTGAACTAAAGCATCCTTAAGTATAAATAAATAAAATTACTAGCTCTTATAGAACCAGAAAAGATCAAACTTGAGTCACTAACTTACACTACAAACAGTCATTGAGATCAAAACTAGTAATCAAGATTATAACTTTTACCTTCCACGCCAGTAACAGTAGAAAAATCTCAAGACCCCAAGCACCTCTGTCCACATAATCTCCATTGAACACAAAAAACCGGTCCTCGCCCGGGAATCCCGCGTTCTTAAGCAAAAACAGAACATCATGCAACTGGCCGTGCACATCACCAACCACCACTACTCGGGAATCTGAACCCAAACCCGATTCCGAATCAATTTCAACACAATTGGGCTCTTTATGCAAAATCTTGGACGCCGTAAGCACAAGTTTATCAAAGACCTCGACCGGAAGCAAAGAGGCAAACTCCGAGGGCGGTAGCGCTCTGGAGGCCCATTCGAAGGCCTGCATCAGGTCAATGACCCAAGATAAGGTTAGCTCTCCGTCCGGAGGCCATTGGATGGGGATCTGAGAGGGTAGGGACTGTGTCGGGGAAGGCGGCTTGGAGTCGGATGAGGTGGAACCCGAGGCCACGGAGGTAGTGGTGGAGAAGAAATCTTCATCGGAAAATGGTGCAGCCGGCGGCGAGGAGAGAAGGGGAGCGGAATTATTGGGATTTGGGGAATCAGATTGTGGGACCATAATCGAATGATTTAATTTTGTCCTCAATAAGAATTCATATTTGTTAAAATACGACAATAATTTGATCCGTTTAATTGAGGGAAGAACTTCGCGGGGGCGGAGGATAATTTTTGCTGCGGCTGAGCATGAGGACTTTACCGGCCTAAAAATTTCGAAGGTCGCGCAGTACGAAGGTGCTATTACAGCTAAGCACTCACAGTCTTGCATGCACAGCCAAGTTTAATTGGAAAAAAATATTAAATTAAATTATTCCGCTTGACAAATTTATAAATCATTTGTTAATGATCAAACTTCATATCCGATCGTCTCAATAAATTTATAAATATTAGAGCATTTGCGTCTTATATATTATAGAGAATATCTTTAAATTTATGATGATTATATTGTCATCATAATTTTTATTTGATAACCGCATTTTAATTGCAACTTCTCAATCTTTGCTTTAATTTTTTTCGTCGAATTTTTATCTTTAATCTTCTATTAATCAGTATGTCTTGTCTTTGATGATGATTTATGTCAAAATATTTTATTTTCATGTTTTAAAAATGTGGTTTGAATAATAGTTTGAGGATAAGAATGACATGAAAAATCGTTAGAGTTATAAGTGTTATAATAAACAAATATTAAAAATTATAAATGCAATTGAAATGTAGTGCAAAAAATAAAAATTGTGGCGTTAATATAATTACCCTTAAATTTAAAAGTCAAATATAAATTTGCCTTTTTGACCTTTATAAAATCAGTCGACATTTGGTCAGGACGTTGATTTTTAGTCAATGAACTGAGGAACTAACAGAAACTATCAATTTGGACTCTAAGTGAGAATTTCTGAAAGGTTAAATAAAAGATTAGAGTCACTCTATTACTAAATGAAAAGTTTGATATTATGGCTGCAATTCTCCCCATTTTTTATACACTCTAATAAGATCTCTATTTTGGCTCTTCATTTTGTTTTCTCAAGAAATATTTTTTTTCATATTTTATTCAACATAATTTTTTATATGTTAATTGACCAATTAATTTAAATGTGGTTTGAATAATAGTTTAAAAAGTAGAGTATTGAAATATGTGATTTATTAAATGCAATCATTGTAAATTAAGAATAATGAGTGAATTTGAAATTTGGAGAATCAAACTCATTGTCTATTTTATAAAATTAAAATAGAGTATCTTCTAACTTATTTTTAAGTATCGACTCTCTAAAATTTATATATATATATATATACACACACACACACACACACACACACATGTTATATTTAAAGAGACCCTTAGAGTTATACTTTTATTCATTCATTTTTAGCTATTTATAAATTAAAGCAAAAATAAAATTTACTTTTCACCACAAATTTTATGAAATGGAAATTTATGAGTAATTTTTATATACTTACATTCTGATTGACATTCTAGTTTACATTCCATCACGTGGCATACAAATTTATTATTAATTTGTCTAACACTTAAAACAATCAATGATATCGATTTTGACATATTGAAATGTCATCCAAGATGTACACAAAGAATGTACAAGTAGATTAATTCATTTATGAGTATAGTGCCTTTTTATTAAAATGTTATCCACGTCAATCAAGCAGGTTGGTAAAGAAGACTAGAGTCCGAATGTACTAGAAAAACTCACATTAAGCCCCATGTTTGATTCAGATTAAAATTTGAAATCAACAATTAAATTTAATCACATTTTATGGAACCTATAACTTTTCAACCACGCATTTCCTCAATTTTTATAAAAATATAGTAAAAAAACTAATTTTAATCTATATCAAACATAGTGCAAGGTGCAAAATTTAATAGAGTTGTTTAAATGCAATCGACATTCTCATCAACGTATTTTAGTTTGATGAGATACTTCCAAATTCATGAAAAAAAAGAAAATTGGAAATACTATTTAAAATGAAAATGTTTATAAAATTTAGGGGCATTACCTAAATTTAGAGTCTTATGCAACTGCCTCAGTTGAGCCAACTCTATGCATACTAAGACTAGGACTGTTAAGTGGGGCTAGTCACTTGAGTGAATCGAGTAGCAAAATAATCATGTGAGCTGATATCGACTCGTATGAGTTGGCTCGTGAGTCGAGTTAGCTAACTTGCAAAAGAGATCGAGGGATGTCTTTCTTCTTGGCACAGAAAGGGACATTGTGCTGCAGTAGTCTGCTCCACTAGATTACCTTCTGTCTTTCCTCAATCGTTTCGGGACAAAAGAAAATTTGATTACAATTTGTAGAAAGCTCGCATTGAAAGTAAATTGATCATTGATTGATGAAAGCAGAAAATTGCAATGGCTGGTACAGGGAGCGAACACCAATAAGCTTGAAAGATTTTTGAATGACTAATACTCCCTATAATAGCTTGCGAACGAAAAACCTAAGTGATAGAAGTAGACATTTAAATAACGAGAAATCATACTAAACGTTTACCAATATCAGAGATATTTTACAACCGAAATAAACTATTACAATGGAAAGGAAATTACAACTCAACTGAACTAATATTTATAATGTGCAGTCGAAGTTGGGCAAACTCCGGCTGTGATTAGGTCAAGGGGGTAGTTAAAGTTGTGGTTCTTAACATTCTCCCCCATTTGTTTTGGCGAAGTCATCGGTGCCATCGGTGCATAATATGCTTCAATTAATGTATTGAAGGCTCAAATGTCTTTTTCTCTTTCCCAAGTATTCTCCTCGTTGCTGCATCCACTCCATTTGACCAAGTACTCTTGATGATATTTTCTAGAAGCTCGAGTAATACGATGGTCCAGTATAGCGTCGGAAACCATCTTTTCGACTTTTCTCAGTTCACTTCAGTTCATTTCTAGATGCATCCTCCTTGTTTGCAAAGTATGGCTTGAGTACACCACATTAAGGATCTTGTGGATTTTGCACCATGAAGGAATGCAACTCTGTATGCGACTCTTCCAATCTTCTTCACGATGGGTAATGGTCCAATATATTTTTGTATCAATCTTGAATCTTTCCCTGTTGTCGGTTTATAACAGTTTCTGTCGGGAAATTTGACCATTACCAGATCTTCAACATTAATTTCAAAGAAAGGCACTCTAAATCTGCAAACTTATACCATTTTTAAGCTTTCACAAGATAACTCCGAGCAATTTCAATATTTTGTTTCCACTCTTAAGAGAAGCTTTTCGCTTGAGAGAACTTGGTACTTTGATCCATATCCACAGTATGAGGGAGTAACGGTTGCTGACCAGTCACAATCTCAAAAGGACTCTTATTGGTGGAAAAGCTCTTTTGGGCATTGGAGCAAATCTAAGCCGCATCCAAAAGTTTCACCCAATTTTTCAGCGAAATAGAGATAAAGTATCGAAGATATTCTTCCAACATAGAATTGAAGTGCTCCGTCTGTCCATCAAATTATGGGTGAAAATAGAACTCATACTCAAAGTTGAACCAAGAAGTTTGAACAACTGATGATGTCTTTAGGCAGTCCCTAGTATTTGACAATATGTTTGAAGAAAAGTTGAGTCATTTCTTCAGCTGATACATACTTGGGTCTACCACGACGATGATAGTACCAAAATATCCAACTTTTAGCAATCCAACAATGTAGTCCATCGATACACTCTTGAATAGCCTAGTTGGGACTGAAAGGGGCTTAAGCAAGTCTGCCTTTTTCTAATGATCTGTCTTATCTTGCTGACAAATAAGATAGTTTTTACTTAAGTTGCAATGTTGTCCTGCATTTGAGGCCAGTAATATGCATGTTGTAGTAGTGCAAAAGTGCGTTCCTCTCCAAGATACACTGCCTAAATCGTGTCGAGGCATTTCATTATTAGTGATTTCCTCAAATCTTCGACCTTAGGAACATATAGGCGGTCTCCCCTAGTCTTCACTAGGCCCCCATTGAGCCAAAACTAACGAGTTTTGCCTTGCTTGATAAGGTCGACCAAATATTGAGTAGTCGAGTCCTTATCCAAAAGTGCCTGAATTTGGTCCCTTGTATTTGTGGTAACCATGCTCCCTGAAAAAGCAGTCATAGAGCAAATAGTGGCCAAGTTGGCTTGATAAATAAGAACATCAGTAACATGATTACTAGATTCGAGACGATACTCTAGCATAAAATTGAACTCTAAAAGAAGTTCCTGCCAACGAGCCTGCTTGCTTGATAATTTCGGTTAGAACATGAAGTGACTAACCACAGTATTATCTGTCTTCACAATAAATGAAGACTCAAGCAAATAGTGACGTCATCCTGTAAGGCAATGGACTACCACCAACAACTCATTTTCATACGCCGAGTAACGACGTTCTACTTGGTTCGGCTTTCGGCTCTCATATGCTACTGGATGTCATTATTGCATAAGGATTCCACCAAGTGCAAAATCTGAAGTATCGGTATGAATTTCAAATCGTTTAGTCATATCCGGTAAGGCTAACACCGAGTTCGTCCACATAGATTTCTTCAACTTCTCAAAAGCATTTTGGCATTGGGATGACCTGTCCCAATCCTTATCCTTCTTTGTCAATTCGGTAAGTGGCGGTGCAATTTCTGAGTACCATTTCACAAATCTTCGATAGTAATTGTATAACCCAATAAATGAATGTACATCGTGGACATTCTTTGGTAGTTACCAATATTTGATGGCTGGTACTTTCTTCGAATCCATTTGTATTTTGCATTGTTTGATGATGTGACTCAACAAACTAATAGAAGTTTGAGAGAATGAGTATTTAGAAGATTTGGCATAGAGTTCATTCTCTCGTAGCTGATTGAAAACCTACCTCACATGTTGCACATGTTCCTCCAATGTCTCGCTTTAGATTACTATGTCATCCAGGTACACCACCACAAAATCATCCAAAACCCCGTGAAGTACTTGATTCATCATCGTACAAAATGTTGCTGGAGCGTTGGTCAAGCCAAGGCTAACACCGAGTTCGTCCACATAGATTTCTTTAACTTCTCAAAAGCATTTTGGCATTGGGATGACCTGTCCCAATCCTTATCCTTCTTTGTCAATTC